GAACTGATGGGGAGAAAGCTTGTCCCACACACAGGGCACCTATGTAATGAATAGGAAGATTTTTTCAGTTTTAACTACTGGTTATAAATACCATGTTCTATTGTCGCTCTTTAGGTTTGCACCTATAAACATATAAATCTATCACACAAGTGAATTTATTTGCTAATAGAGAATATCCGAAACCACAGTGGACTCTGAAGTACCCAATCATGTGCCACCACGCTCAGCTAATTTTTCTGTTTTTTTGTAGAGACGGGGCGGGAGAGCGGGGGTCTCACTGTGTTGTTCAGGCTGGTATTGAACTCCTAACCTCAAGCAATCCTCCCACCTCGGCCTCCCAAAGTGCTAGGATTACAGGGGTGAGCCACCGCGCCTGGCCTATGATAATCTTTATTAGGTAGTGCTACCTTTTCTTCTCTCTTGAAATACCTATAGCAAGATGTTGGTAAATGGTCTTTTAAAATTAAAACTTTGAGCTGCGCTGAGGCAGGAGGATGGCTTGAGCCGGGAGTTTGAGGTTGCAGTGAGCCATGACGATGCCACTGCACTCCAGCCTGGGTGACAGAGGGAGACCTTGTCTCAAAAATGATAAAAATTTTTAAAAATTAAATTAAAACTTTGGATATTAAAAGGAAAACTGAACCCCTTCTATATTTTTGTTTTTAATAAATAATGCGTTTGTAAATTGAATGGAAAACCACTTGCATGTATTGCTATCAGGTTGCAGTCATACTTTCAATCTTAAAAATCAAGATCAGTAGAGCGGCTGGCAGTAGAGAAATGCAGCTTCCTGAACCCCTCTGTACCTCGGTTCCCTGGTGTGTGATGGGACAACGAATGGACCCCTGGCAGAGTTAGGGGAGGACAGCTACGGTAAACGCGCATACGAGGTAGAACAGAGACGCACACATGGTAAGCACAGAACGGCAGCCGCTATTGAGACACAGGCTGATCTTCCCGTCAGGCACGAGTTTGAAGGCAGGCTGCAGTGCGTGGACTGGTACCGGGAGAGTGACAGGAAAATTAGCTTTTAGAGTCAAAGAAAAGAGCGGAGTTACAAAGTTTCAGATGGAAATCTACGTCAAGAAAGGGAAGATGTTCATCTTTGTCTTTGACGGTCTTGCCTTGGTGAGATTAAGGAAAGAGGTTTAAATTTCAGTCTAACCAGATAGAAATGAGGCTGGACACACAGAAAATGATTAAGCCCGAAAGCAAAAGCTATCACATGCAGAATAGAGAAAAATCCTTACAAATGCACTCTACACAATTTACTGCAAGTTAACTTGTCAAGGTGAAGGTCAAGAAGATACTTTGGTATAGGAAAAACACCTGATTTCTGTGTGGCACGGCATACACGTCATCACTGCGACCTCCCTCTTCTTCCTGGGCACCGACATCCTCCAAATGCTCGCAGCTGGATGACAGCTGAGATTCAACGTCCTCTTCTTCCCCATAGCCCAGTGTTTCAAAGGATGGCAGAGAAGTTCTTCTTTTCATCTCACTCTGCCCATTTAGTCTGCATTAGAACATGAAAGAGTAAAACAAAAAGCATTTAACACTTGGCACTGATACGTACACACGCATTAAACGCACTGCCTCCAAGCGCCCACCATAAATGCGTAACACATTATAAAACACACAGGAGCGAAAAGACTAAATCATCTACTATCCCATCTCTTTGCACACTCGGAATTTCTTTCTAGCTTTTTTTCCTGTTTTTATGTTAATACTGCATATATACATAACTTGTCTTGTTATTAATAATTTTCTCTTTTTTGAGACAAGGTCCCACTGTCACCCAGGCTAGAGTGCAGTGGCGTTATCATAGCTCACTGCAGCCTCAAACCCCCAGGCCCAGGCAATCCTCCTGTCTCAGCCTCCCTAGTAGCTGGTATTACAGGCACACGCCACTGTGCCTGGCTAATTTTAACATTTTTTATAGAGACAAGGTCTCACTGTGTTGCTCAGCTCTCAAACTCCTGGCCTCAAGTGATCTTCCTGCCTCAGCCTCCCAAACTGCTAGGATTACAGGCATGAGCCACTGTGCCCTGTGACTCCTACCTTTTAAAATGTTGACTATAAAAACTTATTAGGCTGGGCTAATGGTGGCTAATGTCTATGATCCAAGCACTTTGGGAGGCTGAGGCAGGAGGATCACCTGGGCCCGGGAGTTCGAGGCTACAGTGAGCTATGATAACGCCACTGCCACTCTAGCCTGGGTGACAGAGTGGGACCTTGTCTCAAAAAAAAAGAGAAGAGGAGGAGGAGGAGGAAGGAGAAGAGAAGAAGGGAAGGAAAGGAAGAAAGGTAGAAAGGAGGAACAAAATAGGTAGGAATCAAGTAGATATTGTAATGAACATCTGTGCAGATAACCTCTATATTTAGGATTAATCCTATAAAACAAACCACCAGACGTTAAGTCAACGGTATGAACGTTTTGTGTCTATGTGCATACTGCACAAAATCATTCCACAAATCCTTTCTCCAACCTGCAAGTGCATTGGTAATAATTTTCTAAATCTTGCCAAAACAATTTAATTCCCACTGTCTAAATTTGCAGCTCTTACTGAGACTGAATATTTTTCTATGTATTTATGTTCAAGTCATAATTCCTATATTAACTTCTATGTTTTAAAATATGATGGGGCTACTCCAGCCCCCTCCCTGGGCTAGTATTCCTCCTTTCCACATTTCCTCCGACGGTCTTATGAACTTATCCCTTCCAGTGAATTTCAGAACCGCTGCCTCATCGTTAGTTCTTATTCAGCCAAAGTATGATTCTCACCAGAAGAAAAACAGGCTACACTCTAACATCTCAAAATGCAGGCAATATTTAAATGTAAAAACCAAAACTAAAAGCATATCCTAGAAGGAAATACGGCAAGTACTTAGATAATGCTTTTGTAGGGAGGTCTTTCTAAATGTGACAATAATGACTGAAACTATCAAGGAAAAAGTTGATAGATTTTACTGCATTAAAAATACAGAATATTTGGTATATCTAAATAACAAAGACAAAATTGAATACACATGACAATTCAAAAGGCAAATTTGATCATGCATCCCCACCCCCACCCCACAAGCCCTTAAAGCCATCCGGTGTCTTTTCGCCACTCCTAAGGGAGACACCACCCTGGGAACAGGGTGCCCTGGGCAGCCCAGCTCGGCCCCGCCCACTGCTCCGCCCCACCTCGCATCTCTCTCCAGCTCACTCGAGTCCTGGATACAAACGTCTTCCTTCGATTGCTTGCATTTGCTGTGCTCCTCCTCTTAGTCTGGAAAGCTCATCCCAGCCCCACGGTGACCATCCTCCGACCCTCCAGCTGTTCCCGGTTGATCCCTGCTTGGCCCTAAGCTCCCCTCAGCTCTCTTCCTGAGCAGTTTCCCAACCCCCTTGCCTTGTGCCAGCTCAAACCCAGGTCAAGCAAAAAAGGAAAAGATGTTAAAGAAGAAAGAAAAGGTTATACAGGCGCCAAAGAAGGTAAAATTGGTATGAATGTTCAGAGAGACCCGTGAGGAGTGACGAGGGACAGACCACTGTCACAGCTCAGGCTGTGGCGGAGAATCCCACTAAGCGCGGAGAGCGACGCGGAATTCACAGCTCTGTGCTGCCAGGAAAATGACCAGTGCTTTGTAAGCCGTAATTTAACAAGATGCACTCTGGAGGAAATCCTTATCCCAGAGCAGTAATGTCCCTGGACAGAGTCCCTTTGACACTGGTGATGAAAACCTGGGGACTAAGACTCTAGCCAGAACTATACGCACAAACACACACACACGCAGAGACCAGGCTGCTGCCACCCTGAGAGCAGCGCGGCCAGCGGTACGGCCCCTACCGAAGTCTCAGCTCCGAGGAGGTGGCATAGGGCTCGATGAAGCTGTCCTTTTCCACGGAGGTCGTGTCGCTCTCAGACCGGGATCGCTGGCGAGGCTGAGGAATGGCAACGGTCCGGCCAGTTAACGTCGTCGCCAGGATGGCTGCGGCCAGAGCAGATCTACGGAAAACACGCCGTTGGGACAGTGAGACAGGAACACTCAAGCTGAAGGCTGAATAAGACGCGTGGGCTGATCAAGGTGCACCGTCTCTGTTCTGCATGCCCACAGTCTACCGCGTGCCATCAGATAAGCTCATTTGACTCTCACGCCAACTGTGTGACCAGGAATCAGTGCCATCCCGCTTTTTAGAGAAATCAGATAACTTGCAAAGATTTCCTAGCCCACAGGAGGTGGAACCAGATGTCAAATCCAGGCAGCCAAACGCCAAAGCCTATATTCATTCAAGTAGTTTTCTATTAAAATGAAAGATCAGAATGCAAAAAAAGGAGATATAAAAAGATATAAAAGATTTAAAAGGACATTTTTAAAACACTTGAACACTATTCAAACATATAGGGAAGAGAGAGTAACAGATTTACCCTACTGCCTGAAAAAAGAAAAACAAACAATACAATTAGAATTGCCCCAGCTCACTGCTGGGGGCGAATATCCAGGTCACAGCACAGGGAGCAGGCACTGAAGTGGGGACAGGCGGACTCCCTGAGTTGTGGAAATGGAGCTGAGAGCCCAGGGACCCCAAGACAGAGAGAACTAGCAGGACAGAGTACCAGAAAGGTGCCATCTGCACAGAGAGAACCCCAGAGATCTGCAGAAGGTCCCCCTGAGTGTTCAGCAAAATACTCCTCAGCATACGCCTGTGAAGAGATTATCCAAAGTTGGAGGCAGAACCGTCCAAAGGGGTTACAGGAACAGTGCCAGGTGCTTACACACGGCTGGGGACAGTGGCTGCTCCCACAGGACAGACAGGAAACACTTACCGTTCACAGGACATTGGGTACAGCACTCAGGAGGGTCTGGCCTTAGTAGTGGGGAATAATTATCCCTAGCTGATCGCTGCTCCAGAACCCAACTAAGATATCATAAACACAAGACTGGAAAGATCATACTCTCTCCAAGAAACTGCATCCCAGAACAAAGGTCAAGAAGATTTATAAGAATACAAAACTATCCAGCACTCAACAAGGTAAAATTTACAACAATGTCTTGTACCCAAAGATAACCAGGCATGCAAAGAGACAAAAAACATGACCTATGATGAAGACAATAATCAGTCAATTGAAACTTTTTAAATTTTTTTTGAGACAGTCTCACTTTGTTGCCCTGGGTAGAGTGCAATGGTGTCGTCATAGCTCACCGCAACCTTAAACTCCTGGGCTCAAACAATCCTCCTGCCTCAGCCTCCTGAGTAGCTGGGACTACAGGCCCCGTCACGACACCCAGCTACTTTTTCTATTTTAAGTAGAGATAGGGTCTCGCTCTGCTTAGTCTGGTCTCAAACTCCTGAGCTCAAGCGATCCTCCTGCCTCAGCTTCCCAAAGTGCTAGGATTACAGGCATAAGCCACCGTGCCCAGCCTGAATGTTATTTTTCAGAAATAAAAAAATCTGGAAATATGATAAATTTGCCAAAGTTGTTTAAAGATTACAATCCAGGGAGGTATTTTTGTAAAGCACAGGAGACTACAGGGAGACATTGTCTAATACTTCCACAGTTTGCTTGCCATGAAATAACACATTTCAGATATTTTTCTGCTTTACAATGAAATGTAAAGCTAAGCCTCCAGCTACTAGGGGTACTATGTAAACATTTAAGTCCTAATGACACAATGTAAGAGTTGTCCACACAAACTCCTTAGAGCCAGACAAAGCCACACGGGCATCACGGTGATGCCACCACCCAGTAGCCAGCCTTGAGACCCTGAGCCAGCTACTAACGCTTGGGCCTTTTGTACCCAAAATAGAGATGACACGGGACCTCTCTCACAGGGTCCTCAAGAGGATGAACTGAAACAATGCTCCTTAAGCATTTGTCAGAGTACTTGGCGCAAAGGAAACATTAACAAATGGGCAAGCCGGGCGCGGTGGCAGCTCACACCTGTAATTCTAGCACTCTGGGAGGCCGAGGC